TTAAAGTCGGCATGAAACGGAAGTTGCGATTGTCTTTTCTTCTCTACTGTGACGTATATCCGAGTGAAACAGCATCTGAAATGAGAGGGCGGGACTTGATTTCGTCCTTCGGGAATTGATTGGATCGTTGGAAGTTGGGGTGTTGCTAACAAAATAGAGGCAGATCTGAATGCCAGTTTGCAGTTAGTGGTGGGGGATTTCTCTCCACTGGATTCACAGCCGACACCCAAGCATGAATAAATGTTTTATTTATTAAGGATGACGACGACGATCAATGGCACAAAACATGCCTAACAGAGAGAGAGAGAGAGAGAGAAAGAGAGAACGAGAGAGAGAAAGAGAGGGAGAGAGAGTGCCTGAATGACTGAACCATCAGGTTAAGTCATATTCATGAAAAAAATTAGTTTACGATGTCCTAAGAGTAATGTTGTCTTAATATCCTAATATCTTTTCAATGTTTAGGGGTAACGTACTCCCTCATGACTGGCGTCAGTGCTATAAAGTGAAGCATCAGCTTTTCCCCCTGTGGTTTATCCCAGCGTTAACCCCTCACGTCACTAGCTCCGCCCTTGCGCCATAGCTCGTGACCGGAAGAGAAGATGAGTCGTTTTGAGGGGGAGGGGAGGTTAACGTTTTTGATTAAAGATTACTAGGGCACATGAATTAAAAAAAAAATAATGAAGTGCACAGATAAATTATTTATAATAAACACTACAGTATTCCATTAAAAAATAAGAATTTTCCATTTTGATTTCATGGTGACTTTAAAGAGGTTCCCCTGGGGGTCCCAACGCTAAACCCCCCAGTACTAATCTAAACTAAAGCCCCTACAACCCCAGTATGTGCACGTGAAGCCATAAACCCATGTAACCAGCACGCATGAGGAGATGTTTGTAGCCTACAAACATCTGTAGCCTATCTCCACCTTGCGGTTTTTCATTTAACTACCCTGATTCAGTCACATAACACGAACGTGTTACATGTATAGAAGTAAAAGTATCAATTTTTAAATGTATTGAATTAAAAGTAAACAAGTAAACAAAAATATTTATAAAGTTTGGTTGCTGTTTATTAGGCATACTCTGCTGTGATGGCTGTTTAGCACGTTTAGAGTGTGTCATTGATAAAAAGGGAACATTTTAAATGTGAAGTTTATTGACTCGTGCACTGAGTTTTTTATTCTTATATATCAGACAGTAATAATTCCTTATTACATATTGTACATTTATCAGTAGCTCTGAAATAATAGGTTGGTTAAATATATCACTTTTCAAATTTTCTAACATTTAAAAGACATACACTATATCACATTTCAGTCTGGAAGCCCTGCAGCCATAACCTGCGTCAATCAAAAAACATTTTGCTGTCCTCCAAAAAAAAAACTATATAAAACAAAACAAAACATCATATTCAAGTGATTTTCTTTTTACATATTTGCCACATAATAACTGAGCTTTTACCAGTCTAAATCACCTCATATCACCCCATAAACAACCTCAGATTCAGAAGATGTCGGGTCACATGAATGATCAGTTTATCTCATCTGCACAGACTCCTTTCTGACCCTACATTCAGCTCATCTTTGTTACTTAGTAGAGAAAATCGTCTCCGGTGGCTGTGGGTTCCTCTGGTTTCTTAGTCTGTATTTTAGGCAGATGAACTTTACTGGAGGCTACTACAAGAATGTTAGCTCCGTGTGTTACAGCACTGGCAACGCACAACCAGAAGGAGAAACCAAGATTCTCCTCAAGGATCACGAGGGTAAAAAGGCTCTCGCTGTAGTTAGCCACATGTTCTGTGAGCCGATGGCACTGGATTGCAGCAAGGAAACACGCAAAACCCATTGCACTGAACAGAGCTGAGAGAAGAGATTAAAACAGTGGATATAGTATATAATTAGAAACCGAAAGAAGTAATGAATCACAAGTTGTTATTGTTGATTTAGGGTTGATTGTCCAGAGGTGTGGACAGAACATTGTATCTTAGATTATATGTTATGCTGATTTACCTGCAATGAAATTCCAGATGTAGAGGCCAAAAGGTCCTTTGATAGATTGGTATGGAACTTTTCTGGCATTATATATACTGAAAGCTAAACTGACAACTGCAAAGCCAATAGCAATGAAAAGGAAGAAGATAATGATCATGTGAAGACCACTGTTGATTTTTTTGATGAGCTTTGGGAAAACTGCAGAATTTGTGAGAAAGAGAGAAACAGAGATCAGGTCTCTCAAAATTAGATTTATAGCTGATGAGCTATATAGATACTTAAAATTTATAGATATCTAAATTAGACCATGTATGCCATATACATACCATGTTTGGGGTTGGTAAGATTTGTAATGTTTTTGAAAGAAATCTCTTATGCTCCCCAAGGCTGCATTTATTTGATC